AAGGTTCCTCCCACAACCTGTCATTGAAATCTCAGCAAAGACATTGTGCACAGATCTCTAAGTCGGTGTATGACTCTGTGCTTCTAGTATAAAAGTGGATATGCAGCCAACCTAACATGACTTAAAATCGTCCAACTACAACAATCTCACCCTTCTAGTTGCTAACAGGCCTCACGCTGAGAGATGAACAATATGATTAGTATGCCTCCTAACCACTGCCCTCATAATGTTCATTAACAGTAACCTTTCTGTTAGATTTTGGTTGGCTTCCTAATAAAGTCGTTACATAATCCACTCTGCTTTCACAGACTTTATTGTGTTAAATGCTTAAAACTGAGGGAAAGGTGCCTCCTACAAGAAAATAAAGTAAAGGCCACAGTCTAGACCACTGAATGACTTAAGAACACATCAGTTTCTGTGGTATGTTTCATTTTTAGGACTGTATATTTGAAGTATTTGCAGTTGAACTTTTCCCAGTTTGGTTCACATTTTAAATGCACATCATCCAACCGCTGCTATGCATTCAGGTTAATGACTCTTCACTGGAAAAAAAGGCATTTTTTCTTAAAATTAAATGCATTTTTTTTCTTGAATTTAGGAGGTAAGTGAAGCAAGATGAAGTAAAGATAATCAACATTTAAAATAATAAAAAAAAACTATTTCATTGTCTTATTTCAAGTATATATTATCTAATTACCTTATTTTAAGAGTAAAAATCCTCATTCCATTAGCAAATCATCTTATTTAACTACTCAAATTAAGGGTAAATACACTTAATTGAAGACATTTTGACTTATTTCTAGGTCGTTTTTGCAGTGTTCTCACACTGTGCCTGTGCTGAGCTGCAAGAAATCGTCCTTACAAACTGTAAAAGCAGCTTGTTTTTCTGTTTATACCTTCATTTTCTTTCCTATGGTAAAGTAAATACCCCGAGCATTAACCAGAGCCGTTTGTGTGGAAAACGCATGTTTGCTCTGTTTGTTTTGGCTCTTGATGCAGAAGCCAACATCTTGGTTCCACGGTCTGTCCGGAACTGGACAAATAAAATGTTAGTCTGAACTTTGACAGCAAACATTCTTCTGTGGCTTTTA